CCAGTAGCCCGCGGCGTTGGCCATACTGTTCATGGAACAGCGCACTGAATCGAGCAGCCCTTGGATCTTGCGGGCGTTCGCGGGCAGGGCGACTCTGATTCTGAAATGATCGATCAGCTCCCTGGTGTGAACTTTCCACGTTCCACCATGTCTTTCGACGGCGGCGCTCTGTGGCGGCGCGGCCGCTGACGTAGTCCCCAGGCGGCAACCCGCGTCTTCGAGCTCCTCGGAGAACTCGCGCTCGAACTCAACTATCAGTCGAAGCTGGTTCTCTGATGAACGCCACAAGGCGCAGTCCAGATCTGCAGCAGTCGAGCGCAAACAATCGACGGGCGCCTGGCGACCACGGCCCCGCAAGGCGAAAAGCCCAAGGCCAGGTCGACCACACTGCAGAACACCAACTGGTTGCCGGCGTAGTCGGCGAGGGTGGGAAAATCCACCTCGACGGAGTCGTTGAAGTCCCGGCCCAGCCGGACGCGCCCTGGCAAAAGCGGTGGTGGCCGTCGTTCGGCTGAGCAGACCTTACAGCGGGGATTCACTGCCATGTCAAACGCTCGCTGGGATCCGCCGGTCACGCGGATTGCCCTTGCTCTTGGCCCGCACCTCCAAAAGCTCGGACGTCTCGTTCTCGCGATTCTTGGCATCGCGCCCGCGGACTTCGGCTCCCTTTATGGCTGCCGTCGCAAAACCTTCGGGGGGGCCATCAAGCCTGCTCGATCTTCGCCGCGACGGTCTTGCCGTGGCCCCAGCCGCCGCAGCAGCGTGGCCGCTCGAAAGACGCCGCGAGCGGGGACACGAACTCCTCGCGCAGTCGGCTGGCGACTTTAAGGAAGGGACTCGCCATAAACTCCGACTTACGCACCTCTCGATCAAGCCCGAACTTGCGCCTTGGGTCGGGGTTGACCAGCAACCACTGCAATGATGTCCACGGCGGAAAAGACCCTCACGCTCTTCCCCTGGCCTAGGAAATTCTGGATATTCCGATCCATCTCGCTGACGATGTAGCGCTTTGAAGGGTCGCACCCAGGGGGCCTACACCGAACAGCAGCCCGCCCCTGCTATCTCCAGATTTCGCAGAGCTTGCTGTCGGGATTGCAGCACCACTCGTAGAGCGCAGTAGATTTGGCGCATGCGAACATACTAGCCGACGCCGTTGCCTTGGCACCAATCTGCTCGCAGAGCCTGGCCGACCAAGCGCGGCAGAATGCCGCTCTCGTCAGCGACGAGGACCGACTATGTCCCGGTGATGAGCAGCGGCTTCGGGCTTACGTCTGGAGGGTCGCACTCAGGTCTGCTCCCCCTCTGCGACATTGACCTCCTTCCTCGCGACGGCGAAGAAATTCGCGCCGAAAGCCACTGCGGCTCCGAGTACGCAACCCGGGCAGAAACCCCAGCGACAGCGGGCGTCGAACACCTGTTTCACCGCACGAGATACAGTGCACCCTTCGCGAGGCATCCCGCAGGTGGGTACTCTGGCGACGCCTGTGGTACTTTTGCTGCTCAAGAGCAGCACGCCAGAGAGGGTGCCAGAGCGCTCGTGAGCCGAGCTTGCGACTCGACGCAGCTGGAGTCGCCCGGAAACGACGCCCTCCCTCTGGGCGCGCAGCTCAGCGAGATCGTCGGCCAAGGCCATGCCCCTTGCAGCGGCGTTGGTGGTCGGCGCAGCGGTCGGCTTCGTCGGGCACCGCTGGGCGGCGTTCCCTTTCGGGCCGAACTCGTTGCCCACGGCCGCGATCGCCTTCCAATCTTCGGGCTGCAACTTGATCGAGCCCGCGCTGATGGCCACAAGCTCCTGGACATGGGCCCCGACGCGGACGATGCCCCCCCTCCCGGGCGAAACGCCTGCATTCGAAAGATGAGCGAGGCCCCTACCGATGAGCAAGCCGAGCGCAAAGATGTCCACAAAACTGAACACAATCCGGCCAGCGCGGCCGCAGAGGGCGAGCGGCGCGGCCACCCCCAGCATGCCGCGGAGTGCACCGCCGCCCCCGAATCCGCAAAGCACATCCTCGCCCTCCTCCAGGAGCCGCTCGCCCAACCCCATCTTAGCCAGAACAGGCTCTCGCAGGCCTTGCAGAACAGGCCAGCCACGCAGAACAGGCGGGCGGCGCCGATCACGTCGATGCCCTCGTCGGCGGGCGCCTCGCCGCCTGAGGTGGCGTTGACGCGCGGTGGATCGGGCACCGCGCGCTTGGACACCAGGCACCCTCGTAGAGGCGCAGTCGGTCCTTCTGGATGTAGAGAGAGCGCTTCTTCGCAAAGCCTCACGACGCGAGCGACCGCCCCTGCCGCGACCGCCACCTCCACCTAATTTTCATGGGGCGCACTTGCAAGCTTCTGGAGCAGGGCAATCTGGATCGCCCATCCAATGCCCCAGCTCGCCACTGCCCCAGCATGTCGGGGTCTCCATGCGTCGGTCAATTCGGGGCTGAATCAGCTTGGTCGAGCGCTCATTGCCTCCCTTGCCGCAGCCCTTCAGGGCCAGATCGCTGCGAGCTCCGCCGCAGCAGCCCCGACCTTGGCTGAGTCGCCGTTGTCGACAGCATCGGAGACGCCCACGCCAAAGGCTTCAAGCTCGGCGCTGACAGCCTCGCGTTCATGGCCCACCATGTCTTGCGCGTCGGCCTCCTTGCCGCTATCGTCGCCGTCTTCGCCCTGGTAGTTATCGTCGTCCTCGGGCTCGTCGACGACGTTGGTGGATCTGCCCCCGAGCCCTGGCGGGGACCTCTGCCAGCCGGGGGGCGTTCGTGACTGACTTCCCCACGCGCGCGAGGGAGGAAGATGGCGTCGTTCCTGCACACGGATAACTGGGAGCACGCGCACGAGACCCTGGCGAATTCGCGCGAATCTGCAGTGCTCATCTTTCTCGTCGTTCTGAGAGGGGCCTGGCCTTACGCAGCAAGAATCAAACGGCCACGACATCGAGCGAGCTGAAGCCCACCTCAGTCTGGCGTAGCTGCCGTTGGCCCGCGCCAGACCTGACGAGCCCATGTCTCATGCATCCACCGCGGGGGCGGCGGCGGTCCTTGGTGCTCTCGAAAAACTCCCCGAGCGCCCCACCCATCTGCAAAGGCATGTGTTGGCTCGAGCTTTTCTCGAAATGCAAGGCAAGGCAAGGCCCGGTCGAATCGAATCGGTCCGCAAGCGGACGTGGGCAGAAAGCTATGAATGCCTGGGCACGTTATCTAAACCACGTTCGTTCCTGCTGCGTTTTGTTTTCGATGGCTTCCTTGAAATCGACAGCTGGCTCGGGGTGGAGGTCTGTTCCCTCCATGCTGAATGAGCTTGGCCAAAATGTGCGCCACTTCCAGATTCTCACTAAGCTTCCAGGACTTCCTTGTCTTCTCGACACTTTGCTGGGTCTCCGTCCCAGCTGGGAATCAACGATTGGCTGCAGAATGAACTGTGGTGGTCCGCCATCGTGCCCGTCGCGTCGCTGAAAAATGGTGGAATCAGGCTGAAGGAATTTTCGCTGAAGGATGAAGCGTCGCTGTACGCCGTCTTGAAGCGGAACTTGACGCGCTGACGTCCTGGCCCGAGTTGCAATAGAGGGCATCGCTGACGTCCTGGCCACAATTCAAATATATGGCGTCGCTGACAACGTGGCCGGAATTCATGTAAGAGGGCGTCGCTGACATCCGGGAAGTAATTCATGCGTACAAAACCGCTGACGACCAGGATGTAATTGATGTAGAAGGAATCGCTAGCGTCGCTGGCGCTGGCGGAGTTGAGCAGGTAGTTGGGCTCGCTAGCGTCGCTCACGCTGGCGGAATTGGGCAGGTAGAAGAGCCTGCTAGCGTCGCTGGGTTTGTTGGCGTCGCTGACGCTGGCGCAGAGCAGCTACAGCTGCAAGAATACGTTGGACCTAGATCCCAAAATGTATGGACGCATCGCGGATGTCGTCGTGCTGATATGGACGCCCCGCAAGCCGGGATCGGGAGCCTCGCTGCGAGCCACGGCTGTGATGTGAAGATCGCTGATCGTTCTTAGGCCCTGGCGGGGCGAGGGAACGTAGTTCAAATGACCAAGGGCCCTGGAGTGTCTGGGCACAGACGGCATCGGGGGAAAGAGGGGTCAAAGAGAGGCAGAGGCAGCAGGGAAGATACAGGAATCACACGTGAGAGGTTCCAGAACGGCTCCAGGCTCCTGATTTCGGAGTTGACGTTGCATTGGTTTCGCGATGTTTCTTTGAATACGCAACAACGAATATTGAACCACACATGTTGTTTGGACGGATTTGGGACTGATGCTGGCAGGGTCGCCCAAAAGGCATTATCTCATCTTGATACTTGATGACAAACGGATGTCGGCAAGGTTCTGGCAGCACAACCGCAGCCGCTACAACCCCCTGCGAAAGATGTTGGATATTCATGTTTGCTGGAATCCTAAGGCGAAACGTTATCAAAGATAAACCGCTGTATCTCGTCATCAACGCGCGCTCAAAAGACCGATCCCCAGGCCCCTCCCAAGCACTGTCCTGGCCAATTGTTCACGCGGTGTCCAGCCGTGGCGACTAGGGGCCATTCCTGGTGCCAAAGAAGTCCGCGCACCGCCTTGGACGGAACACAGACGATTTCGGGACTTTAGGAACCTGTCGGTTCGACAGAAGGACAATCGAACAATTGGATACAATTGGCCGTGGATATCACTGCCGCCATCATCAGACAAGGGATCCTTGAGGGTCTGAAGCCGGCTGGGCGCACTCCTTCACGAACGCCCCCACCCTGCCTGGCGCAGCAAACGCCGTCGAGGCGAGGCTCGGGCGAAGGCGAGACTCGAGCGAGGCCAGACCCAGGCGATTTTGGGCAAAGCGAGACTCGGGCGAAGTGAGACCCGGGCGACTCGGGCGAAGCGAAACTCGGGCGAAGCGAGACCGGGGCAGCTCCAGCTGATCGAGGCTCGGGCGACACGAGGCTCGAGCGAGGCGAGCCCGCACCAGAGGGAAGGCGGCCACGGGCCCCAGCTCCGGCGCGGGGGGCCAGCCGCGGCACGGCGCCCGCCTCCGTCGCGCGACGCGACGCTGGAGGGCACGGACGGCTCCCGCGGCTCGGGTTCGGGCGCGGCGGGCTGCTGCTTGGAGCCGAAGGTGCTCCCTGGGGCCCTGGGCCTCACGGGAGGGCGCTGGCTGCGGTCGGCAGCGAGAGCATTCACGAGTGACGAGCCTGTCCACTGTCCACGCCCTCGCGGGCCTGCTCACCGAGGCGCGATCCCTTGGAGACGCGATCCCATGGAGAGCTCCGCGCGAGGGGCAACGCGCGCACAGCCGCCCTGTATCCATGGGGTCGCGGCCGAGGAGTCGATCTGGATTTGTTTCACGCCCACGAAGCAAGGCAGGTTCGCGTCGCGATGACGTCGGCGTAAATTTCTGACGCCGCGTCGATCGCTCAGCCTGGAACGGTCGCTGCACTGTGAGCGCTGACCATGTCGACCAGGTCCGGACCACTGGCAGCGCTCAACCTCGAGCGCCCGCGCTGGGGTCGACGCCGCGTCCACGCAGGGATGCCGCGCAAACCTGCGATAGGGATGCAGGGTGAAGATGCAAGGACGCAGGGCCCTCCAGCCGAACAGGCAAGAGTGAGCCCAGCGGGCAAGGGTGGGGCCAGGCAAACAGGATGCAGGGGGGGCGGTCCTGGCGGAGCATCGCGGTTGGTTGCGTCCACCTGCGCCGATCCTGGCCAGGTCAAGGACCGGCCAGTGCGCCCTGGGTTCCTAGCCCAGCCAAAACCCAGACCTCCGACGCCGTACTGTGGTCCACACGGCGCTTCCTCCCTGGATCCAGGGGCGTATTCTGCTGGGCCCTGAGGCTCGAACAAGAGGCCCCTCCCGCCTGGACGCCGGAATTGTGAAAAAACGCGCGCCACGATCTCGCCTTGCCGCCTGGAGGTTTGCCCATGGCTTCGCAGCACCCCAAGGAGCCGCGAGGTCCCACCTGGATAACCGTACAGCTCCACTGTGCTGGACCTCCCAACAACCCACGAAAGTGGCGATACTTTCACACTTCGCAGCCCCCCATGGAACCGCGAGGTCCCAACTGGATCCCCGTACAACTTCACTCCGCTGGACATCCCAAAAGCCCACGAAAAGGGCGACGTTCACACTTCGCAGCCCCCCAGGGTGCCGCGAGGTCCCAGCTGGATCCCCGTGCAGCTCCATTCTGCTGGCCCTCCGAAGAACCCTCGAAGGTGACGGAAATTTCACGTTTCGCAGCCCCTCAGGGAGCCGCGAGGTCCCACCTGGATCCCCGTACAACTCCGCTGCGCTGGACCTGACCAGAGCCCACGAAAGCGGCGACTGTTTCACTCTTCGCAGCGCCCCAAAGGGGGCCGCGAGGTCCCACCTGGATCCCCGTACAACTCCATTCTGCTGGACCTCCCCAGAGCCCACGAAAGTGGCGACAGTTGCGCACTTCGCAGCCTCCCCAGGGAGTCGCGAGAGAAGGAAGAGAAGACAGGAGGCAGGAAATCCGCCTTCCAAGACGGCGAAAGGACCACCAGGAGAGCTCCAAGACGGACAGAGAGACTCCCAGTCAGCCAGACGGAGAACCGGAACGGACACTTCGAACCTTCGGCTCCAAGACGCCCCCAACGTGCCCCAGGGACCCCAGGAAGCACCCCCAAAAAAACAAAGGTGTCGGCGGTGTGGCGTAAGCCTAAGAATAAGAGGCAGGAGGCAGGAGGGGGACGAAGAAGGAGGAGACTCGACCACATTGCTCCATTCAAGACGAAAACCCAGCACATGTGAAATCGGTGTCTTCCTGTTATCCTCGACGAGGGGACAGAGAAGAAGGACACGTGAGAGGAGGATGAAGAGGAGCAGGAGAAGGAGGAGGAGGAGGAGGAAGAAGAGGAGCAGGGAAAGATAATAATAATTATAATAAGCAGAAGTGTTAGTACTATAAGAACAATGATACGTATAATGAAAATAACAATAATAATGATCACTGTAATAATAATAATAATAAAATTGCTAATAACAACAATAATAATAATGATACAAATAGTAATACTAATACTACTAATAGTAATAATAAAAAATATTGATAATCATAATAATACTAAGAAGAATAATAATAATAATAATAGTACTCGGCGTAATAATAATCATAACAATAATGATAAAGTAATAATAATAATAACGGTTATAAGAAGAAGAATACTATTATTATTAGTCATAACAATACTTATAAGAATGATAATAATAGTAACAATAATCATAATAATAGTAATACGTATGATTAAAAATATTGAACCAAAATAAACAAATTACATACATAAACACATACATACATATATATATATATATGTTCCTCCGAGGAGCTCTTTTTCCTCAGGGGCCAGACCGAAGGTTTGATCTGTGTGCTTACTGGTGCCCAGAGCTCTAGACGAGAGGATGCAATCAGGCGCCAGTCCTCGAGACCGACGGCAGTCAGCACAACACCTCGCGTAGATTTTGCTCCGCGGGTGGGCTCGGGGGGGAGCTTGAGCACAATCGGTAGCGGGCGTGCTGCGACGCGCGGCCCCCTGTCCTCAAGGCACTCTCAGAAAAGATTCACATGCACGCATTGCCATCTGTTCCTCCGAGGAGCTCTTTTTCCTCAGGGGCCAGACCGAAGGTTTGATCTGTGCGCTTACTGGTGCCCAGAGCTCTAGACGAGAGGATGCAATCAGGCGCCAGTCCTCGAGACCGACGGCAGTCAGCACAACACCACAAAATCGGAGAACTCCGAAACCATATGTCTGGAGACTCGACTTAAAGGCGAGGGGCCACTTTAGAACACATCCCCCGAAACACATGGTTACGATGTGCATTGAGAAACGCACGAGCAATATGTACACACAGGTCACTTGGGTACGGTTCGGCGATAGCCGTGAGAAAACGGCCGGCATTATCTTTACCGGCGAGTTCGATGTGCGACTTACCTGAGAACGAGCAAATACCTCTACCACAGCACTTGAATGGACGCAGACTTGACAGGTCAGCATTAGCATAAAGGATTGCAGTGCGTTTTCGCCACGGAGTGCCGAAAGCGCAGAAGTCCACGGTTAAGCGCTGGACCCCGGACCGCTTCGAGACTCTTTCAGCCACAGGTTGTTTCCAGAGCCAGGAGGACCCCGGGTTTTCCAGGCCAACAGGGATCCCAAGGGACAGCGCTAACTCAAAAAGACTAAAACTGAACGCACAGAGCCTATTGCCTTGCAAAACTTTCAGAGCATCACCGGGCGACAATCCAGGGAGGCCCTGAGGGTGCGAGCTGCTTCTGAGCGGAGGGGGGCCATTTGGTCGGTTGCGCGCGAGCGACATCGACTGACAAGGCGTGCCCAACCAAACAGCTGCCACAAGGCCTGACCGAAGCCATCCGCGAACAAGCTGCTGAACTCGGCGCTGCAGAAGGTCTGAAGCCGGGTCATGCTTGAGGTCCAGCTCAAAGGCGGCCAGGCGGCCGCGGGAGACTCGCCGCCACGCCAGAGAGAGGCGCCCTGACCCGCTGAACACTTCTAGGAACACGGGTTGACCGGCGTCCTCTACAGACCGACCCAGATTTTGGAGAGGCGCCCGCCAATGGTGTCGACCAGGCGCGTGGCGCGGCGCTGCTCGGAGATCGGAAGCCGTCGCATCTGCTCTGCCACGCGGCCCCCTTTGGTGTAGCGCCGTAGGGACGAGTCCGACACCCACCTCCCCCTCTTTTTGATCTCGTCGAGGCTTCTGAACTTTGCGAGGTACTCGTGGGAGGCCCCCCCGTGTCGGAGGGCGTAGAGCGTCGGCGGCCCCAGGACGCCGAGGTGCAGCGCTGTCGCAGCACGCCTGAAGACCAGGGCCCACTGGTTGTAGCTCATGTCGAAGACGCGGCCGCCTGGCGCGGCTCGGGCCCGCAGCGCCTGCAGCAGCGGTGGCAGCCAGGTGAACTCCGGGCTGTCCAGAAGGAGGCCCTCGTCGTAGACTCCCGTCTTCGAGGGCTGAGCGCACTCCATCGGATGCAGGACCACCGACCAGAAGTTCAGGAAGGTGCGCCCCGGAGGGGCGCCCTCGGCAGGCGGGATCACCTGCTCGCGCGTCAGGCTGAGCAGCTCTGCCGGCCGAAGGTACAGCGCGAAGCAGACCGCCGTCGCCGCCGCCGCTGTCGTCTCGCCTGCATCCAGCATCCAGTCGATCATCAGGCAGGCAATCGGCCAGGGCAGCGGCAGCCGGGATCGTGGCGGTACCAGCCGGGCCCAGCCCTTCGCAGCACGAGCGGCCCTCGGGAAGGCCACCTGCAGCCGGCCGGGCGCCGCGCGGCAATGAGCCAGTGCCGCCATGTACTTCGTCGCCTCCTCGCTCGGGTAGCCGTCGAAGAACAGCTGGTTGAAGAAGGTCACCAGTGCGACGTCCAGCTCGGGCACCTCCCCGATCGGCAGCCGGACCGAGGTCGCCCACCCCGTGAACTTCGAGACCCTGTCGGCATAGTCCCGGCGGGTCGCCTCCCCCACGGCCTGCGTCTCCAGGAAGGTCAGCGAGCCCGAGGTCGCCGCCGTGTTGGCGGCGGGGAAGGCGCGCCTCCTGGCAACTCGGCGGTCCGCCTGATCCCCCCAGGACAGCGCAGCTGCGCTCTGGGAGCGGCTCCGGCGCCCAAGGTGGGTGGGCGCTGGGGCTGCTGGAGCCGCCGCGGGCCGCCTGCGAAGGACGCCCGACGGGCTGGCAGCAGACGCTCCCTGGGGCGACGACCGCTGGAGCATACCACGCCTCGGGCCTAGCACCAGGCCGGTTCCGTGATGCTGGGTCGGCAGAGTTGAACTCGGACGGCAGCCACCTCCAGTACGCCGCCGAGCCTGAGGCCAGCAGCAGACATGCCACCTGCCGGCAGACGGCGAGGAGGGCGGGCGCCGAAGACCGCCCCTTTGCCAGAGCCAAGATGGGAGCCATGGCATCATTCAGCATTACGTGGGCCTTCCGAAAGGACCTCTTGGAGCGAAGCTTGTGCTTAAGCGCCATCACGCCGGACCTGGCCTCCAGGATGACCTGAGGGGCTGGGCGCCGCCAGGGCACCGAGAGGACCGGGTGCCAGTGGCCCCTCCAGATGTCGGGCGGGACCTCCTCGAAGCTAGGGTCCACGTCGGAGACTTCGGGCCCGTCCGGGGCGGTTCCTGAGGAGCCTTGACCAGGGACAGCAGCGGCTCGGGGTCCAAGACGTTGGCGCTCAGCTTCCCGAGAGAACCTCCAACGCTCGTTGTACCGGGCCAGACGCTTGACCGAGTCCTCAGAGACCTCCCGCTGGGTAACTCCAAATCCCCAAGACGACGCATCCAGGCACGTGAGGGTGGTGTCGAAGGGCAACCCGAGGTCCCTGCTGCAGAAGATGAGGAGAGCCCGAGCCCAGCGTAGTTCACGACGGACGACGGGCCAGAGCTTAGCGGTGCGATTGTGGTATACCTCCCCAAACTTGTAGACGGCCCCCAGGCACGAGAGGAGCTCCCTCCTAATGAGCACCCTGGACGCGATGTGCGAGACGATCCTCACCATCTCCTTTCCAGAACAGAACCCACGTCGGAGGACCTCCTGAATCCCAAGGTACAGCTTCCACCTAAGCCTGGGGTTGAGCGAGATCACGGGCGAGTTCGAGTCGAAGGACCAGCCAAGAGTCTCCCCGCCCACTCCGCTCTCCACCCCGTGAGTAGGCAGCCCCACAGCACGCATATGATGATCGACCTGACGGGCAGCAGCAATAGCAGAGGCCTCCGATAGCGACAGCGCAACGAAGTTGTCGACGTATTCGGTATGAACAACGCCCGAGTCGACGACAGGGGCAGGCAGGCGATCCACCAGGACACGCTCCGGCCTGACGAGGCCAGCACGCCGCGAGACAATCTCATTCACTGACTGGCACAACCAAAGACTGAGACTGAATCCCATCGGAGGACACCTGAAGCACGGATAGACCCACTGCGTAGGCGCCACGGGCCTTCCATTCGCATCGACCGAGATCCCCAGTTCACCAGCTCTGATCTTAGGGAGACCGAAGTACCGACGAAGCCAAGGTGGGAGCAACATGGTATAGAAGGCATCCGCGATGTCCACACCAGCGACACACACCGGCTCCCGACTGTCAACCCGGAGCTGAGAGAACGCGGCCCCAGTTGCCAGCTTCACTTTGGGGGGCTCGTCGAACAACTGGGACGGGATCCGGCCATCCAGTATGAGCCTCAGGGCCCCTGATTTCTTATAGACGAAGAACATTCCCACTGAGCTCAACGCATCGGTATGAAACTCAACGAGGTGCGATGACACAAGACGGCGCAATACTTTCTTATATAAGCGAGGGTTCCTCAAGTTGGGATCCGAATACGCCCTCTTCGGAGCGTGCTCCGCGACCCGGGCAAGCCCCCGCTCACGGGGCAAAAGTAGTTCTTGAAGGCGATGACCAATACTCATGCTGTCGTCCCCGATGAGTGCAGACAAGGACTTCGGTTCGGAGCCCACGCTCGGCAGGGAGATCAGATCGACGCGGTCGAAGGTCACCGGCGCAATCACGGCAGACTCCTGGTCGCATGACTGCGCGACGCGGAGCTCCTCGAGGGCTCCTGCGGGAGTGAGGTCGGGCGGGGGCACTCCGAAGGCGTCGACGGCCTCCTGGATCACCGCCAGAGCCTCCTGCTGGGCGGTCGTAGGGCCAGTGAGGCCGGTAGGCCGCGGACAGCTCGAACCAGTGTACATCTCATTCATGGCGCGGATGGCGTCGACGACCATCTCGCGGCGGTGACTGGTCCTGTGGAGTCGCCTCTTAGTTGTGCGAGAGAGGTCTGTAGCCACAAAACTGCGCTCACCACAGGCGGGCACAGGGAGCGGAAAAAGATCCCGACGCCGTCGCTGACGAGCTGGCTGGGCCTCATGTACATCTGCAGCGCGGGAGGCCATATCCGCGAAGCCC